CCTCGGGGCCATTCCAAGCTGTCCCAAGCTCTTTACACAGGAGCCTCTCCAAGGCCCTGAGCCTTTTCCTGGGGGAGGGAAGGTGTCGGGAGGGGGAGCAGCAGCCATGCCCTGGGAGCCCCAAAGATTCAGTTGCTAAAGAGCGCTTTTCTTTTTCCACGGCCCAGCTGATTGGCTGGGGCAGAGCATTCAGTCCCTGCCACATCTGCTACGCTCGGGGCAGGATTCACACTTAACCGAAGGAGGGCGAACGATCCCGCAGCGCAGAACAGGGACCTACCGGTTAACTGCTGAGTTGAGAGCCCACTGATGAGAGGACGAGACGCTTAAGGCCGAAAACAGCCCCTCCGTGGCACGTCCCTGGGAGCAAGCTCCCTGGCAAAAGATGGCAGCCTGCGAGGTGGACTTATAGAATAATGGACTTTAAACAGCACCTTCCACCCAATCAGTTAGTTCACCCAACGGCCACCGACATGCAGCCAGGTCTCAGGTGTGGAGCACAGAGACTGCTCCACTACCGCACAGCCACACCACGCCCTGGTTTGGGAAGGGGAGAAACCCAATTCGGAATCCGGTCCCCGCACCCAGGCTGACAACCCCAGCACCACACATCAGAGGGCCTCTCCTGAGCATGGCGCGGCCAGGACCTCTGTTTTTCTCTTCTCCACAGCCCCTCACGCCGGAGGGGAAGGCAGGTTCCGGAGCGATTAAGAGGGACTAGCTACAGCACCACATCCAGGATCTCCAGCAGCAAGGCCTGCAGCACCAGTCCCCCTTAGGCGTCACCGGACTGGGGTACACAGGATTCCTCCCCCCCCGAACATTAGGCCAAGGGCCTGCAAGATTTTTGCTCCTCCCTTTCCCCTGTGCCCAGGAGGGACCCAGAGCGCTGACTGCACCAACCACACTGGAAGGCTTTCTGGCAGACGTGAGGGGCCCCTTTGTGGGTAGAGAGCACCCAGAAAACCTTGCCGAGGTTCCCCCGGTGCACCCAGGGGCCAGTGGCTGCTCACAGCGGGCAATGGGTGACAGGGCCCCCAGCAGCAGCCCCTCACCCCAGAGCTGGGAGAGCTTCTATGGAAGGGGTCAGGGTTCCCAACCCAGCCTCACCGATTTCCCCCTCCACCCCATGGCTCTCAGCCTGGCCCCATCGATTCCCAGCCTGGCCCCACCCATTTCTCGCTCCCAGCCCGGCCACATCGATCCCCCTCCCCCGCCCGCACTCGCGGCAGCGCGGTGATGAACAAAGAGCCGGTTCCCGAGCGCTCAGCCGCCTCCGCGGGTCCCTGGGCCGGGCGCCCTCGCAGGGACCCAACGCGCTGCCGACGACGCTGCACAACGGGCAGGATCCCAATGCGCCCCTCCCCCGCACCAGTGCACCCCTCCCCCCCAGCACCAGTGCGCCCCCCAAACCTGGTCCCCTACCCCCAGCACCAGTGCGCCCCCCAGGCCTGGTCCCCTACCTCCAAGCCCAAGCCCCCCCCAGCACCAGTGTACCCCCCTCAGACCTGGTTCCTACCCCCAAGCCCAGCCCCCCCCAGCACCACGTGCACCCTCCCCCCTGGTCTCCTGCCCACCGCCCCCAGCACCAGTGTACCCCCCCCGGACCTGGTCCCCTACCCCCAAGCCCAGCCCCCCCCAGCACCAGTGCACCCCCCCAGACCTAGTCCATCACCCCCATGCCCAGCCCCCCGGCATGAGCGTGCCCCTCCCCCAGACCCTGTCCATCACCCCCATGCCCAACCCACCCACCCCCGCATCAGCGCGCCCCTCCCCCAGACCTGGTCCCCTACCCCCAAGCCCAGCCTCCCCCGGCACCAGTGCACCCCCAGACCCGGTCCATCACCCCCAGGCCCGGCCCCCCGGCGGTGGGGAAGATGCGCCAGGAGCCCGGCGCGGCCCGTACCGATGGTGGAGATGTGCGAGGGGTGGAACTCGTTGTCGGTGAAGCGGCAGAGCAGGCAGGTCTTGCCCACGCCCGAGTCCCCGAGCAGCAGCAGCCGGAACAGCACGTCGTACTGCTTGGCCATGGCGGGGAGCCGGGGCGGGCTGCGGGCTCCGGGCTCAGCCCCGCGCCGCGCCTGCTGCTGCCATCGCCGCCCGCCCGCCGCCGCGTCCGGCCGGGCTGCAGCCCCAGCGCCCGCCGGCGGGGGAGAGCCGGGGCCGCGCCGCCGCAGAGCCAGGGCCGGCCCCTTCCCCGCCCGGGGACCGCTACCCGGGCTGCAGGTGGGGCCGGGGGCAGGAGCGGGTACAGGGGACCGACTCAAACACCTGCCTGAGCCCATCGCTGGGTGGGGGAAACTGCCCCCGTGTGACCCAGGAATCACCCTGCCTGAGTCTGCCGAGAGCCTGAGCCCATCGCTGGGTGGGGGAAACTGCCCCCGTGTGACCCAGGCAACCACCCTGCCTGAGTCTGCCGAGAGCCTGAGCCCATCGCTGGGTGGGGGAACTGCCCCCTGTGTGACCCAGGCAACCACCCTGCCTGAGTCTGCCGAGAGCCTGAGCCCATCGCTGGCTGGGGGAACTGCCCCCGTGTGAG